AGTGGGTTCAACCGTCATGGGTCTCCCGGTGGCAATAGCCGCTTCAGTCTTCACTTCCATCGTTCCTCGACAATTGAGCTTCTTACTCTTCTTACAAGGGAAGGATCACAAGTCAAAGTGACCATTTGAAATGAGACCTACACAGCTAGACGTATTTTTTGATGCTGATTTCGAATTTGCAATCAAAATCTGCCAAACGACTCTCTGAACAAAGTTATGGAGGTGATCTCCGGAGAGCGCTCAACAGGGGCAAGCACAAAAGACATGGTCGCCAACAGTCCAGCAGTGGTGGCTTGGAGTGGAAGCAAGCGTGACGCTCCATGGGCATGAAACCAAGGATCAGGTTTGGTGGGCACGTCGTTTTTGCATCTCGCAGGACTTTTTCCTCCAGGTTGTAAAAATCTTTTTATGCTAGCTTTACCACCTTCAGCTACTTTTTAGTTGCTGGAGGTGAGTCAGTTCCTACCTAAACCGTCTGACATCTACTCTAATCATCAACATGACAAAAATTCTATTCTTCTACATTTCAAATTCACTGTAGGACTAGAACTGTCCGGAGGACACTCGCTATGAATGAAGCGGAAATTGGAATTTATGCACGACAGCGAACGGCATCATTTTTCGCTTGACCGATAGAATCTGATAGATCTTTTCACCCGGATTTGTTAGGTTGTCTCTCTCTAATAAATGTTCTGGGTAGACGAACCTGTACCTGCTCTTTGGACACTTCCACATTACCAAACATCAACAACCCTTTAAATGTGCTAGCTGTTTCCTCTTCACCATAGGTTCCCACAGTGGATTGGCCTCCTCGTCCTCAATTACGCAGTCCTCTTCGCAGTCAATATCGAGGTCTTCGTAAGTGGCATTCCGCAAGAAAGAGAAGAAACCATCTATCAACTTCTGCTCCTTCCATAGCTTCTGCTTCAAGTTTTTCAAGAAGTGCGACACTACCAACTCTTGCCAGAACATACTCCTTGTTCTTTAGTGCTACATCCATTCATATATACCATACTTTGCCGGGTTTGCCACATGGTAACCCTTATTTCTTTCGAAAACTGACTAGAACCCCAACTTGTTCAAAAACTCATTGTGCAGTGGAAGACTGTTTTAGAAGGAACTGGTTCACCTCGAGCACTCAAAAAGTCGCCGAAGGCGGTAAAACTACTAAAGAAAGATTTTTACAACCTAGAGGAAAAGACCGCAAGATGCAAAAACGCTGCCTACTACCAAACCCGATCCTTGGTCCAATGCCTATGAAGCGTCACGCTTACCTCCGGTCCAAGCCGCCACTGCTGGACTGTTGGCGACTATGTCTTTTGTGCCTGCCCCTGTTGAGCGCTCTTCGGAGACCACCTCCATAACTTCGTTCAGAGAATCGTTTGGCAGATTTTGATTGCAAATTCGAAATCAGCTTCAAAAAATACGTCGAGCTGTGTAGGTCTCATTTCAAATGGTCACTTTGACTTGGGATACTTTCATAGTTAGCTTCTCTTCTTCAACCTCCTTGGATTCTTCCTCGACTTCCTTGGATTCTTCTTCGGCTTCCTCGCTTTTTTCTTCGGTTTAACCTGATCGCCAATTACGGTGTTAGGCAACCAACAGGAAGCGGAATGATTCATTCACAGAACCCAATCACTTATACACTCTCTCATTGTCTATCATTCCAATCCCGCTGATCCTTCTTCATTCCTCACTTTTGCACGTCCTCTCTCACACTCGTCTAACCCTCGACTGCATCACCAGCATTCTCTGTGCGAATAAACTATGTTACTATTCCGTTTACCTCCACATTCTATGAGCGGCACGTGGAATACCCCTCCACACCGAACAATTTACGAGCAGAAGGGCTCAGATGTAATCCTGTCTACCAAACTCGAGGCTGATATACGAGAACAACCTCGTAAATAACCGGCTTTTAGAGACCTAGAGGGAAGATGGGCGGCCCAATCACTTTGTGTTAGACAACAATCTCACCTAGCGTACAAGATTTGAGCTTGTCAAGGGCAATCTCCAGAAGATCGTCTGCCGATTCAACCTAAAACATTATTCACGTACTGTGAAAATGCTACACAAGTACAAATAAATGCCAAATTTGGAAGAAGGGCTAACCATAGCGCTCTGCATATCCCGGCGGCGACGAATATTAGCAACGGATGCCAAGGTTGCAACGTTCTCCACTAGTCGTCGTTGAATAGCAAATACGACTGCGCAGTGCATGGAGCCTGAAACATATCGATCAAGTTTTGAGCAGGTAAAGAATCGAGAGACGTTCTATTTTATCGACGGCAGAGGAATGGACAAATTCTCCCGCACAGCAAATACACTTGGGGGAAATACAAAAGAATTTTTATTATTGAAAAAAAGCTCCAAGATAAACTTTTTATAGTGAACAATACTATCAATCACTGCCTACGATTAGGATGGGTCGGAATTCGAGAAGTTTGAGGGATTTTTTTTCTACAACTCATAAAATATGTGCCATAATTCAAGGAGTTGAAGAGAGTTCTCATGAGATTATTGCATATGCCGGACAAAAAATGCAGTCGGAGGAGGGTGGTGAGAGGCACCGCTGGTTTCCAACATAGAGCGCTAGAGCGCAAAGAAAGAGGGGTAGCCGACTTTGCGAGCCCATAAGGCGCTTGGAAAAGATGAATGACTGATAAATATAGTTTTTTACCTAGACCTTAGGAGAAAAGGAGCACCGGGTATGTGAGCCTGCTGAATGTTCAATTTACACCCCATCCCAGCTTTTCGACCAGGGTAACCATCTAGTGCTCGATAAGAGCTGTGCCCCCTCCCCCCAACCACATCTTCACCCGTGCAATGATTCCACCTCTGCAAATAGAGATTTCTTTACTACGATCAGGTGGGAAGAAAGAAAATATCAAAGTAAAAATAAAGGAAAAAAACAAGGAGGATCTCACTCCGAGAACAGAGTTCTTGAAGTTGTGAAGTCAAGTTAGGCCAATTTTGAGGCCATTCGTGTTCCATCATTGCCACAACGCATCTCGCACATGACTCGACAGTTCCCTTAATCGTAATATACTTCACAACTAAAACACTCTTAAGCATTACTGGATCAGAGAGAGATTACCTCTTGTACCAAAGTGTCAATCGCTTGAAATATTCGATTACGTAGAACCAGACAAAGCTCTGAAGGTATTGAATTCCACCTGTATCTAAACAATTTTCCCCAATCAGAACGAGTTACGAGTGATTTATTAACTCTTAATTTACCTGATCAAATCTTGCAATAAATTCCAACCCGCATGACACAGGATCGGCGAACATTGCGAAATTAATTCAAATCCTGTGTTGACTACCAATTCTGGTGGGCTATCTTTGAAATTTTCGATAACCTTAAAATACCACGCTCACTGCACAAGTCAAAAAAATATAATATAAAAACAAATACTAATGAGAAATAGTGTTACAAATCAGTGGCAACTACGAACGACAAGAAAGAATTTTCACAAAAGCCTTATTCGGACGATAAGTAACAATGTTAATAAGCCACAGCCGCGACCACAAAATAATACTAATCTAGGAGAAAAATTGAAACTCGTGAAGTTCTATTGAACACTTGAACTTGAAGATGCAGTAATCATAATGGGCAGGAATGGTGTTTCTTTTATGGTTATCATATAAATTCTACGAGAGCAACGCAAAAGATAAACCGTAGAGTCAATTCAACACAATAAATGTCAGGCGTGTTTAACTACTCAGCAGAAACGTAGAATTTAATAATCCACCCAGTTAACCACTGAATGCCAAAACTCACTAATAGAGTGGGTTACATTCCCAGGCAAAATAAGTCATTGTAGTTACTGGCCAAACCTCAAGATCATCACGAACCAGATGTTTCTTGCTTCCCATCTCATCAGTAGGTCAAACAACACCTATACGAACTATAACAGTAGGTCTACTTTAGTTATGAAAACACCCATGCTCTTCGAGGTAAGTCTTAAATAACAAGAGAATGGCTTCGCTACGCTGCAGTTGGCTGAAGGATAACTATTGGCCATAACTGTTTACCTTGTAGTCCTTGCATTATTTGGTACCTTGAGGAAGGAAGTTGAGTTGGGGCAGCATTAGAAAGTAGCATCAGGCTCAGAACATCGTACACAGCAAAGGCTTAAGGAGATTTTACGACTTTGCCAGCAATAGACGGCACTGTTTCGCAAGGTTGGCGATTTATGGACAAAAATTCACTCTCGGACGGGACTCGAACCCGTACTTGTGCTTTCCGGGCATCGTGCTCTATCCCTTTCACTACCGAGATCCCGCTTGTCCTCGCCTTCTTAATGGCTTATATATCATAGCTTACCACGTTGTACATGTGAGGGCTGATAAGCTATGGCATATAAACCATTAAGAAGGCGAGGGCAAGCGGGCTCTCAGTAGTGTAAGGGATAGAGCACGGTGCCTGGAAAGCACAAGTACGGGTTCGAGTCGTCCGAGACTGAAGTTTTGTCCATAAATCGCGAACCTTGTGAGACTTTCGGAATATGTACTGCGGCGAAATAACAGAAGTTAACTAAACATCAAGTCAAAACAAGACGGCACTGCATTTTCCATTAAATACCGCTCCTTTCTCTCTTCCCTCCACTCCCCAAATAATC